AAGCTACAGGCTTGGGAATAGATTTATTATACTTGTCTCGTAGTACTGTACACTCCCTCTTCCAATGTCCATTTTCAAGGCAATAATTACACGTGGAACTCGGGTCTACTTTTCGATTCTGATCACCTTTCAGATTAACAGATCGAATTACATTAACATTTTGAAACTCTCGGCGATTACCATCATTATTGCCTCCGAGTTAAAACGAACTCATCCGCAAGAACAGCTGCTTCGGCTGCAGACTTCACTTTATGCTCATTTATGTAAGTGGCTACTCGATCAAGGACTATGTTCTTAAATTGTTCTAATACCATTAGATCGCACAAACTCTCAAAAGTGTCCGCTCCTGCAGAAACACACCAGCGATTGAAATGACCCATTAATTCCCTCGCGACTTCTACATGGGTTTGTTTTCCCCTTTTCTCCAACCTCTAAAATGTCGTCTATATGCTTCTGGAACCAGTTTGTATGCCTTGAGTACCGCTACTTTTACAACGTGGTATACCTTTCGTTGAGAGTTTGATAGGGCAATATAAGCCTTTTGTGCCTTGCCCACCAAAACACTCTGCAACAGGAAGGTGAGCTCCGCATCATCCCACGCTCTGTCCTCAGCAATGTTTTCAAATAATGAAAAAAAAACACATCTGGGTCTTTCTCGTTAAATTTTGGTACAAATTTTACCATATTTACAATATTGGAGAACTGACTATTTAAACCTGGCTGATCATTTGGTAAATTTTCGGAACCAACACCTGGCATTTTCCCCTCAGACATCAATCCAAAACGTTCCGTTTCCTGCGCTAATTTCAACTCTTCTAATTTATGTTGAGCCCTAAACTTTTCAAAGTCTCGCTCACATTCTCGCTCGTTACTTTTTTCCTTTTCCCATTCCAATTGTCTATCCAATGCACGTTCCTTACTTCTAATTTCTAACAATTCTTTTTGCTGCTCAAATGTTAAGTTACAATTTCCAAAATCACCACTTACTTAGTTGAAGCTCCTTTTGGTACCCCTTCCTCCACATCAGATTGTGTATCCAAAGTCAAAACCATCCTTTTCACTAATTTTTCTTTTACAGCTTTACGAAGTTGTCTTAACTTAGCTGATTTAGGTAAAGCCAATTCAATACCAAAATGCTCACTCGCATTAAGTAAACTGATCTTTTGTGAGACCCTCCAATTTTTCCTCTCTAGGAGCAGCTAAAAAATCCTCAATTATCCATTGTAAAATTTTACGGATTCGACAAAAGGAACTAATTATATAAAATCGAGCCACCATACCTTCCTGATCTTAGGTTTGATTAACGGGATACTGGCAGAGGTTGCAAATTGTGAAGAATAATTTCAAAATGAGTTTTAAGAGCTAACCCGTAAAATTAAATAAACTGACTCAACCCTAACCTCTTTGGTGTGCCCACATAAATGAAAGGAACAAAAGCTTTATTGACTTAAATTTGATTTAATTTGTTTATAAAACTTTCGTCAACGAAATGTTGGGAACAAACAAACTGAAGGAGTGTATTTGGCACAGAAATACTCCTCATCCAGCTCGTCATATGTCCATCTCGTTTTTTGAAACTTTGGCCATGTTTAGCATGAGAATCCAGCTCTTTAACAGTGTAAATAAGTCAGAATTCATGAAATGGCATTAGATCTCCCCTTTAAAATCTACTGTAAGCTCTCATTCAGATCTGCCTCCATCCTGTCAACAATCTATGGATAAAACCAAGTACTCACTCTACTTTCTTTTCTTTTTTTCTCGATAATCCGGTTTACTTGGAAATACGTCACAATACGGAAGGAATGATCTGTCACTACTGCTGTTTCATTGCAACTTTTATTTTCTATAAATGTTCTATGCGCGTTGCAATTTTTCCAACCCTGTTACCAAAATGTGGGAAATTGTAGCAATAAACTCCAAAATTTTTAATACTCTATTTACTCGGATGTATGTCACAATTTGGAAGGAATGATATGTCACTACTTTTATTTTCTATTCATTTTCTGCGTGGTTTGCAACTTTTGCAACCATGTTACCAAAATGTGGTAAACTAAAGCAATAAGCATTAAAGGGGTCATATGATGTTGCTAAAAAGAACATTATGTTGTGTATTTGGTGTAATGAAATGTGTTTATGCGGTTTAAGGTTCAAAAACACATTATTTTCCACATACTGTACATTATTGTTTCTCCTCTATTCTGAAACGTGTCGATTTTTACAAAGCTCATCGGTCTGAAAAGTGAGGTGTGCTCTGATTGGCCAGCTATCCAGTGCGCTGTGATTGGCCGAATACCTCAAGCATGTGAAGGAAATGTTACGCCCCTTACCATACTGTGATGCCCTGTATGGCCGGAGCGACGAGACAAAAACATGGAAACCCATTATAAATGAGGCATTTGTTGCATCCAGTGGGGACATTATTACAGATTATAATGAATTCTACTGTCTTTTTACACGTTGCATCGTGCCGCGTAAACATAAAACCATGTCTGCATTTGCTCTTACAGGCTTTATAAATATGGATGTTTTTCTTACACAAATGCATTGCTTTACTTCAGAAGGCCTTTATTAAGCCGTGTGGAGCACTTTTTATGATGGATGGATGCACTTTTTTGGGCTTCAAAATCTCGACCCCTATTCACTGCCATTATAAAGCTTGGAAGAGCCAGGACATTTTTTAATATAACTCTGATTGTATTCGTCTGAAAGAAGAAAGTCATATACATCTAGGATGGCTTGAGGCTGAGTAAATCATGGGGTAATTGTCATTTTTGGGTGAACTATCTCTTTAAATGCCATTTTTGGGTGAACTATCCCTTTAAAGGATTAAAATCCTGAAAATGAATACATTTTGTTAGTTATGATAAGGACTGATGTTGGTAAAAATATCTATGTCAGTGAAAGAGGAAAAAATATTAATAAGGTATATAATATTTTTATGACAGCTTTTTGACATGGACATTTTTTTGTTCTCTAAGGACACATAAGGGTTAAAGGGGTAGCTTACTGCCAGCAAGATTGTGTTTTAATGAAAGTTGGCTGTCTATGCAGTAGAAACACTAAAAAAACAGGTAAAACACAGAAAAATAATTGCTCATTTACTTCTACTACCAACACTGTAACAAAACAAGGCTGGTTGAAAATCGGCAAACTTACCGTTTAATAGTACTGTAAAATGCTTTATGTGTTGTGTGCCCATACACGGTATTCTGTAGTGGTTTAATGGCCATGACAGGCTTTTCATCCCATGAGCTCTTTGCGTTCAAACGTGCCTCTCTAGAGCAAATGAAACAGGCCACAGACTGAGAGCTATTCATTATTTAATCAAACCTGAGTGTTCAGAGTTCAAAACAGCAACAGTGTGCACTGAATAATGCTGCCCTTATTAATTAATAAAGTGTTTTGGGGTCTTTTCGTGAGTCTAGGGGCGATGGGGGAAGAATAGAGGTATTATGTTTATGTAACAGCTATTTTAATAGTGGAACATCAATGAATGTCTCTCATGCATCAAAGTCAGTCCGTTTTGTCACAGGTTTGAATCTTTTGCAAGAAAGTGTGTGTACTTGCCTGTGCAACACTTGCCACACTGATGTTTTTGGTCAAACTCTTTAAGTATGAGTATTAATAGTAATTCATCAAATGCTTGTATCTTCTTTCTTTTCATGTCTCTTTGGTGGTGATGGGATTGTCTCTCTCTCAGCTGTCTCAGGTAAGCTGTCAAACTGCCTTCTACATCTGTTTCCACATACAATGACACACCTGTGTCTCCTGTGCAGCTGACACCATTCGCTATTGTCACAGAGTTACTCAAACCCCTCAGGAAGCCCTGGATATGAAACACTGTCATGCAGGATGACTTATTCCTGCTTTTGCCCCAGTTTGTACAGAAGCCATTTATAAAAACCTTACGGAATCAGAATTGGGAGTTGTGTGGCTTTTTTGGGGCCATCTGTATGCAAGTGTACTAATAAAATATCAACAAAATTAAAATGACTATTATCTTTGGCACATTTATCTTTGGTCTTTTTTTTCCTTGGGTAAATATATAAAGATTTATTCAAAAATATATTGATGTCGATCATTTTGAAATCAGGGCCATATTCAAAAATGTGTCCAATCAAATGCTGTCAAGAATAATAAAGTCCCTCCCACTCAGGGTTGTTGTTGTTTTTGTTAAATGAAATAAAGCTGAAATAAATGAATAATATTAGATGAAAATGTTAAACTTTTTGCATTGGCAACTAACATTAAAATAAGTTGAAGTATTAAAAGTACTAATGCTAAGACTGAAATAAAAATGAAGCTAAATAGAAATGCTTTAAACAAAACTAATAAAAATGATAGAAGCATATAATAAAATCACAAAACCTAAACTAAGAAATACAAAAAAAACCTATAAAATATAAGACAATATAAAAAATATGAAAACTGAAAATGTAAAAATATTAATAAATACTATAATAGTATAAAAATAATGATAGAAAAATTAACTTTTCCCACTAATACCTCCTCCATCTAAACTATTGGCTGTTTCACTAGAAACTGAAACTAAAATTAAAATAAAAACTGTAAATATAAAAATAAAAGTACTAAAATAACACTACTCCCACTAACTAAACTGATTTCTTTTAAAATGGAAAACTATTTAAAATCATTAAAAAAAAAAAGAAATAGGATGAGTCCTTCGGCATTCCCCGCTACAACTTTCTTTTTCAATAATATTAAACTGAAATTAAAAACTTTTCCCACTAATACCTCCTCCATCTAAACTATTGGCTGTTTCACTAGAAACTGAAACTAAAATTAAAATAAAAACTGTAAATATAAAAATAAAAGTACTAAAATAACACTACTCCCACTAACTAAACTGATTTCTTTTAAAATGGAAAACTATTTAAAATCATTAAAAAAAAAAGAAATAGGATGAGTCCTTCGGCATTCCCCGCTACAACTTTCTTTTTCAATAATATTAAACTGAAATTAAAATTAAAACTGAAAATATAAAATTAAAAGCTAATTTGAAGTAATAATAGATGCTAAAATAGTATATAAATAAATACCTCCTTCACTAACTAGACTGATTTAATCTACAATAAAAAATAAAAAAAGACGAGCCCTTCATCATGTCCCGCTCCAACTTCCTGTTTCAGTAGGGCTCATCAAGCATGAGTCTCGAACGATATTTGGGGGAAGATTGAGGTGGTTTAATTTGAGCTCTTTCTAATAGTGTTGCTAAAGTCCAGTATCATTTTTCTACGGTTTGACATCGGCTCATGATAAGAGAGGAATGTTCTTGAAATCTGTAATCCCTCATTAAAAATTTAGTAATCTTCAAGATGCATTATTGAGTTCCCAAGCCGTTGACTATGCAGTGGAGATGTCGTGTCTTTGATTCCTCTCTAAATATATTAAACACATGGAAAGCGCCATCTCGAGTTCCCTACGCCTGCCACGAACCGCTATAGAGAAGGCAAACAAGTCATGGGCCTGAGTGCTCGGATTAGAAATAGAACGTCTTCCTTTGGGGAACGCCGAGTTTGAGATTGATGAATTATACAAGCTTTTCTGAGAGCAAGTGTGTATTGCAGCACAGAAACACTGTAGATGTTTAAAATGCCAAGGCTGCACTTGCTGCTATACAGTGTAAGCAGAAGAGCCGAGTTCTTTCAGAAGTACTGTTCTGCGTTTCTCAAGTCTACATGAACAGCAGGCTGAAGTAAACTGATGTCCTTTCAAATCTCAATCACAGAACAGTGCCATATGTTGCCTCATGCCCTGTTTAGTCACATCATGTGCAGACTGCTCAAGTGTTTCTTCATCAAACAAACAAACTGATATATTACATAATATAATTACAATAGAAAATAGTTATTTGAAACTGTAATACTATTTTACAATATTAGTGTTTTTACTATATTTTTGAGCACACAAATGCAGCCTTGGCGAGCATAAGAGACTTTAAAAACATGCAAAAATCGTAATATTGTCTATCATGTGTTTGTAATCCAGGTGCTGTCTGAGGACCGTCAGTCTCCTCCATTGCTTGGTGTCAATGGCTCCAGTGAGGACAAGTTGTTTCGCAGCAAGAGTGCTGATATGGAGGAATCCACGGAGAAAGAACAGATAAGGAAGATGCTTTCTGAAGGGTAAAACATTCAGATCTCCCCGATGCCCATCAAATCTCATCATCTAGTTTTCTTACATGCTAATTCATCACTTGGAGACAAACTGTTTAAAATTGTAATTATTTGATGTAATTCATCAGTTAATGTAAGCACTCTGGCTCGCTCAGATGCACGTGAATCTAATCAATCCGCCTGACGTACTTTTCCTCCTCAGTAGTTTTCTGGGGTAATTGGCAGTGAGTTTAACGTCAAAAGTTTTACGGATTCAAGCATGAAGTACTTCACCATACTAACGCAGCACTGAATCACAAAGAGACAGTGTTCAGGACGTCAATCAGCAAATGGCTTACTTACAAAATAAGATGAGGTCAAAGAAGCTGTTAAAACATGCTTACCCTTTAAATCTGAAACCTAGCAACCTAGCCAGGGACATCAGTAATCTTTAGCACACAGTCTGTTTCTGATTTACTTGTTCTAAAATATAAAGGTAACACAAAAGAAATGACATTTCATAACACAGCCATGTGTGCTGCGTTTAGCATCTGCTGCCATTGGAGTAAAATTCTTTGTCTTTGCCTCAGCTTCCAGAAGGAAGGACCTGAGTATAGTTGAAACCCAGATGTTGGTTTGTTCACAGGTCGATATGCGAGAGAAACTCAGAGGCTGAGCTGTTTTCTCTTCGGGACAGCAACACTAAGCTGGTAGCCGCTCTTCATGAAGCTAACAGCAGCATTGACCAATGGAAAAAACTATTAGCCGAGTATCAGGAAGAAACCGATCGCCTCCGAGAGCAGGTGAGGAACAATGAGGCCAATAAAAGACACTACAGCCTCTTAAAATTAAAACAGTCATTAATTTTTGCAGCGATGCCATAGAAGAACCATTTTAGGTTTGCCAAAATACCTTTCAATGAACATTTAAAAGAACCATTTTGTTCTTAATGTAAAGTAAAATCTGAAGAACCTTTTGTTTTTAGGAGTGCAGGCAAAAACCATTGTTTTTTCAGGCACTGCATAGATTTTTCAGGCACTGCAACATGTCTTCCTTCAGAAAGCATCCAAAAAAAAAACATTCCAGTTTGATTTCTATTTTATATATATATATATATATATATATATATATATACAGTATCTCCCAGAAGTGAGTACACCCCTCACATTTTTGTAAATATTTAAATATTT